AGAGAGAGAGAGAGAGAGAGAGAGAGAGAGAGAGAGAGAGAGAGAGGATGAACAATAGGCTGCCTCTGGCACAAGAAATCAAAAGGACTATAGATAAAAACAAATCCAAGAGGCTAGATTAGAGTTTTCTTTAATCCAGAGAACAAGGCTTAATTGAAAGACTTAACTGGAGGATTAAGTCTCTCTACTCATCAAGTTCTAGACTGACAGGGTGAAGGAAAGGGCTATGTCAAGCCCCTGCCACACTAAATCTGACATGAGCAGTACGGAATGGAGGTATATGCCCAATCCCTTTTTCCCTTGTGGATGCCCTCCCCCTAGAGGCATGGCTCACAATCACCTGCCACAGGCACACACTGAAGGGAGGAAAGAGAATCGAGGTGGGGGTTTGAGCAGAGTGCCAATTGGAGAAACTGGAAAGCAGGAAAACGATAGTGGGACCGTCTTAAACACTGGAAGCATAACCCATACCTTCGAAGGGGAAAAAGCTAGGCACATTTCCATGGTATGCTGTACAAGGCAAACTATTCTCTACGTCTCCAGTTTTTCACACGCCCTCCCCTGACCTGAACCTTGGTAGAAACCCAAAGAGCTGTCTCTTCAGGACACACCTTACTCCTCTAGCAGCCTCAGAACTCATTCTCTCACACCTTACATACCAAGGGGGCTCCATCGGTATGGCATGGCTCTCACTATCCCTTCCAGGTGACCCTACCCTCCAATTCCCTGCACAAGCCCTTCCTGGCCAGCACTCTTCATCTCTGCCCCACAGACACGCTCTCCTTCATCATTTCTCCTCCTCTCCTCCCTGTGAGTGACAACGTTCAAGCTAGGGACCTGAGAGGTGTGTTAGATGTGAACCTGGTCTAATGTTGCCTACCTCCAGAGGGTCACAAAGTCCTGTAAAGCCTACCCCCTCCATCTCTAAAAGACCTTCCACCTCTCTTCCCAACTGTCATAGACCAGGTCCTTCAGGTCTTACGTTCAGGCCAGAATGGGAAGAGCCTGGGAAGAGGTGCGCCTGGATTCCATGTCAGGCACGGCTGCCCTCTAACTGCCAAGACTTCATTTCGTCAGCGTTCCAGCAGAAGAAACACGGAGACAAAGTGCTGTGGATACTGTCTTTTCAGGCAATAAGCCCTAAGGACCCAAATCAACTGTCTTAATGTCTACAACTAAATTAACCATGGTGGACAGATATGGCCAATAGAACAAAGATGAAATATCAGGTTATTGGGAATGTCCAAAGTTCCAAACTCAACTAGCAGACCATTTATAGAATAAGCATAGACTTCATTGCTCTTAAAATGCTCTGGCTTCACCTCATTCAGACAAAAACATGACTGAGTCTTGCTAGCAGATTCCCATGCACTAGTGCCAGTAATATGTGACGAAACGATCTTTAAATGTACCAGTGTTTTCAAAATACAATATTGACCAACTTCGAGCAAAACAGTAAAACAAGCTTCCTGGACCAGGACAAAGCTCCCAAGGAGAATTTGATTTCCAAAAAGATTTTTCGCTGGGTCAGATCTGAGGGAGAATACAACTCCACATCTCAGAAAATGACTCGAAGAACCCTGAAGGCAAACAGGATCAGATAGATTCAGCTGTGAGGTACAAAAGCCAGCAGCAAGAATGTGATTTTCATGACACAGAAAGACAGCACACCCAGGGTGGTACTGAGAAGCCATCCCAGGAAAACAGCAGTGACCACAGGGGGGAATTCTGAGCAATCCCTGTTTCTATGTAGTATCTGCAGGAGGTTTGTAGCTTAGGAAAGAACTCGTCTCGGGCTAAAATAGTCATTAGTTAATCAAAAGCTCAGAATTTTATAAAGAGGGATAAATAAAACCATAATTATTGAGCATTTTTTATTAAAAAGGCCGCAATATCCAATTAATGCCATCAGACTGTCCTCTAAAGGTGAAATGTGTAGTCAACCAACCAGCTGTTTTAATTAGCACAATGCCAAGCAAAAATGCCTGACAAATTCTTTCTCTGAATCAGCTTCATTAACTTCCTGGCTCTGCTCATGTCTGAACCAAGTCGGGATGAATTTCAATGATCCAAGTTTCCACCCAAAACTCAACTTAATGAAACTTAAGTGGAAAAGTGATTATCTTCCCCAATTTAAAAAACAAAAATTTAAGAAGCATCTCAATGCAAAAAAGAAAAAAAAAGTCAAATATAAGAACTCAGGTATAAAGCTATCAGATTAAAAGGAAATCATCAAAAAAACCAGTCCTGGGCTTCAAGTCAAAGGAAATACAAATTTAATGGGCCAAAAAGTCAAGGACATCAGGAAAAAAGATCAATTATTAACCAAATCTTCTAATCCAAAAGAGAATTCTTACCATTCCATCACCTAAGCCACTCTAGTGGCCTCTAAAGTCTGTTTCCTGACAAGATCACACATGCCCTGGTTTTGGTCATATGTCAATCAATACTAAATAGTTACTGACTCAGTCACTCACATATATGACAAAGTTTTCATGATAGAGATAAAAGTCTGTTACTTGAAATCTAACCATTTGCAAAGTAATTCATACTCTGCATTTGGTTCACCAGGATATTTGGCAGCTACAAAGGCATTTAGGCTACTAATGGAACCTTGCTTTCCTGAAATGAAAAAGGTGGGGAAATACACGTTTTAAATCATTTACTTTACTTTAACTCCCAGGTAGAAAGAAATAGAAGTGGTGACAAAGATCGCATCTGGAATGACCCAAGGGCTCTTATCTTGACAACTTGATGCTTCATTCACCTTTGAAGACATGACCTTCTTTCTATAGCAAGTCATTCCACATTAGTCCTAATCTGGAGCGAAAGCCTCAGACAGAGCCCCTGAGAGCAAAGGCGCTGAACAGTGTGCCGGGATCATGATGTCAGCAAGCGGCCCCCAGCGCCCGCTTGGAGAGCAGTGTTTGGTCACCAACCCTGTGCAGCCCTGAGAAATATTTTGGAGGGGAGGAAAGAAAAGGAACCGAGATATGTTGAAAATAACATCTTCCACTCTCAACCTTGACCTCCCAGCAATACATTTTCATCTTTGAATGGACCAAGAGAAAAAGAAATAGAACAGAAAAGACCTGAAGAGAAAAAGAGACAATAACAAAGAGAGGTGCAATGCAGAATACTGATGAAAGGTTCTGGAGTCAGATTGGCTTGCGTTTGAATCCCAGCTATGCAGCTTAACAAATCTGTGTTAGATTTTGGCCAACCTGCTTAATCATCATGAACCTTTGTTTTCTCACCTGTAAAATGGGGTTAATAATACCTTCCTGGGTAGCTGTGAGGAATTTTTAAAAAACAACAAGCATGTGAAGCACTTAGTGAGCTGTCTGCCACAGAGGAGGTGGTCAATAAAAAGTAGTTGAAGAAAAAAAAGGGGAGAGCTGAGACCTTCAGAGAAAACGTCTCAGGGGTTCAAAGGAACAGTCTAAACTCACTCAGAACATTCTCATTCTCTTTCTGATCCATCTGAAAATATTTCCTGATCACCTCTGTATCATTAGCCTGTGCTTCATTCAGCAATAAATGAGCCCTCATCTTCCTCCTCACTCTCAAGATGCAGCTCAGAAAACAGAAATTACACACACAAAATACGTAAAAAATGACCTAATTTGTACTAAATTGTTAAATATTCCACATATAGTGATGCATGTGCTGCAGCAATTTGAAAAAGAGGGCCAGTAAGGGCTGACTTGTGGGGGAAGTTTCCAGAAGGAGGTGGTATAAATATGAATGGATATTTAGAAGGGAAGGCATGGCAGGTGTAGAAAAAGAAAATGTGTCCCAGGTCGAGTTTTGCCGCTGAAACGCCAGGGATATGAGTACAGAGCTGTGAAGTGACAAGAGCCTGGATTAGGGAGGGGACAGGCAAAAAGCAGTGAGCATGGGAGCAATCTGAAGCAAAAATGGACAGGACTTTGGAATTAAATATGAAAAATAAAGGAGAGAGTTCTGCCCACATCTCTTTTGGATTTCTCATTCCCTTTTGAGGCCGAGTATGTTCCTTTCCATATTCCTGGTATTTCTTAGGAGTAATCAAAATCACACTCCTCTATTTCCCTACGTAGAGGCTGAAATCACCTTTCTGGATAACCAGACTGCACTGGACAGGGTTTACAAGATGTGGGCTCTGCTGAGTCCGTATCCCAGCTCGCTCACTTTCTAGCTGTGTGACCTCAGGCAAGCAAACTATCCTTCCAGCCCTCAGTTTCCTCATCCTTAAAAGAAGGGGTAATTATGATACCTTTCTTGGAGATCGTTGAAAGGATAAGTAAATCAATACATTTAACAATTCCTTAATTGAGAAGCACATAGACAGTGCCTGGCACACAGGAACAAACCCACAAAATGACCTCATATCACTGTTATTGTTATAGCTATTATCTTTCATCTTTAGCTGAAAAATAGCCATAGAAAGTTCAAAGAATTATCTCACACATGACTAAGGAGGCGGTATCAAGGAAAAACTCATCTTGGAATCGCAAGTTCTTCCAAAACTACAACCAACAGTGACACCCCCCGTGCAAGTCCCAGACCATCCAGTGTCACGGGGAGGATCTGAGCCCATACCTGGCTTGGTGAATGGCCTCCATCCACGCTTTCCCATCCTGCTGCTCCTCACAGCGCAGCTCCAGTGGTTTCTGGCCTTCGTGGCCGAAAAGAACGGTAAAATAATACTGGAGAGAAAAACAAATAATGTTTAGTTTTATTTTTTGAGCATGACAGTAAATTAATCTATAATTTTCATATATTTCGATAAATAATTTTGTTGTTGCTATTCTTTTTGTGGAATAGGGTGTGTGTGTGTGTGTGTGTGTGTGTGTGTGTGTGTGTGTGTGAAATTTGACAAACTAAATCTAAAATCTGAGTCAGGGGTAGGAGAAGCTTTCACTTTAAACCAGTCTGTATGAGGCTGGACATCTTCATTATCAAACTGTGACTGTCTGGAAAGACATGTGATTGGAGAACTTTTTATTATGAGGATGATCAGAAAATTCACTGGGCTTGTGCAAGACTTCATCCCGGGGAACAGGAAGAACCAGCCCCACAGAACTGCTCTGAGAGGAAGAACCAAAGACAAAAACACAGGGTTCTTTCTATTGTCCCAACTTCCCATCCCACCCCCAAACTTCTGTATATTCAGTGTGACACTTACATCCTCAAATGAATTAAAAACCTTCAGGACAATAATCCTGGAAATAAGAATTTTCAGCACAATTCTACCAAAAAAGGGGAGAGGGATGGTTAAGAGACTTAAATCATCAGCCAGTTGGGGACCCTGAGTCACGCCTGTGATAATCCACTACACTTCCCCACCGGCAGTCCTGGACCCCATAAATGACAAGCTGTCTTTAGTTGTTAAACCTCTTGTCCAGCCAGAGGACTAAATGCTCTGAACTAGGGGGATATAACCTAATGAAAAGGCCGTTGAACAGGGGAAGAATTGAATTTAGCACTGTATTCAACAAAGGTCCATTTAAATTTGAGAGGAAAAAAGTCGACAATAAAACAACACATCAGTGGCTTAAAGGGCAATCCTATAAGTGATGGCATTTCGGTAGCTGCTGGCTAATATGCAAGCAAGCCCAGGTGCCCAGTCCCCGGAGAGGAAACCCTTGAACCGGCTTGATCTATTGAGAGACTGCAACCGGCACCTCAACAGCAGCTGCTGCTCAGGGACCCAATTAAAAGCCACCTTTAAAAGACAGCAAGGCAATTATATTAGCAGAGTACATCCAAAGGTTAAACCACGTCTCAGGCATAACAATGATGGAAAGAATTTTGAGAAGTACATGTTACGTTTCCAGGATTTCAATTAACAAATCCAGCTCAATCACAAAAAATTAAACACTGCCTCTGTGTGTACCTGAAAATTATTTCTTTTTAGCCACTCCTCAAAGTTTTCTTTTGTACCTTCTGGCTTCTTTCTGATGTGAACTCTATGCCATGGGTTTAGATGTCAGACTGGGGGCTTTGGAGGTCCCTTTGGGGATCAAAAGTCACAGCAGACACCCTTGGTGGTACTCTGTGGACTCTAACCTGGCCCACTGCACGAATGAGAAGTTCCCAAGCACTGGGTCATCATGAAGTGCAAGGAAGAATTAAGATAGAGAGATAACCTTGTTTATGTCTTTAAAACCAACATCTACAATGACAATGATTTGTTTTCTTTTTCTCCCTAGATATTCTTACCTGTTCCCAAGTCTACTTCCCCAGAGAGATTCTCTCCCAGGTGCCAACCCCACATTTCACTCATTAGACAGCATTTCAATCATGTTCAAAACAGAACTCACGAATTCACCCCTTACCTTCCTTCTGTCTACCTGGCCCCTGATGCTCCTCCTCCGACCTCCTGCCCACACCACCAAGCCTTCTCCTCCTGTCTGTTCTCTGTCAAGGGCATCTTTATCCAATAGTTGCTCCAACTAGGAATTCCAAAGTCACCCTCAACATCTCCCTCTAATCAGCCCCAAATTTGGTTGCACTAATGCTCCCTCCTAGGACTCTCTTCTGGCTTTTATTATCTCTCACCTACACTTCTGTAACAGCTTTATCACAGGATGCCAGATGTGACAGCTTTGACATACTGACCAACTGAGGTTCCTAGATCTTATTATAGCTGGTCTTTCTCTCTTCTTTATCATGGCTGCTACTACAGCCCAAAGTGAGAGGGTAATGGCCCCTCCTGAAAGAAGACAGGATGACCTAGAGAAATTCCAGTCAGCTGGAAACAACAGAAGTGTGCAGAGAAGAAATGGCCAAGGTAGATAGAGAAAACAGGAGAAAGAGACCCAGATGGTACAGCGTCTCCCTACTCAGGGGAAAGGGTGAAGAGTTAAAAGGTTTCATGACAAAGCCAGAAGCCAATGATCTTCAGTATCACTTTTCCTTTGAAATCTAGAGATCTCACCTTACAGAATGTCCTCTTGCCTCACCCCACCCTCATGACAACATAGGGCAGTGACCCCATGGGTGGTGACCATTTCACATAAATCAGTAAAATTGGTGTCATAGCAGTTAGGTAAAGAAAGGGCCTAAATTTTGAGATTAGCTATCCATAGCCTCCCTAGCTTCTAAGTGGCGTGGCTATCCCCAAGTGTATGGTGGAGAACTGTGGAGGAGGGACACTATCAGACCTCATCGGGCAGGAAGCTATGAAGCCCCAGCAGGAGCCAAGGTGGGACCACATGAGCAAAATGGACAGCCAGGTCTTGACCTGAGAGAAAACGGACCACAAATTACAGCAGCCACATACTTCAGCAACAGATGCCAACAGATACCTAAGGCAGAGCTAGAACAATGCCAGACCACAGTTGGCCCCAGCAAGGACCCACCCCCCAACCCCTGATATTTAATTATCTCCCTCTCTCTCTCTCCCCCCACCCACACACACACACAATCTCAAAGACATGTGACCTCAGTGAGGTGCAGAGGGAAGAATGAATTACCAAAAAAGACCTTTTACATTATTGAACAGACTGAGTTTACTACTGTCAGCTAAACGCATTTTTTTTCTCTCCACTTATTAAGTGTTGTTGGTGGTGCAGGGCGTTCTTAAGGAGAAACTCATGGCAAATTTAAAAAAATATTTTCTTCGCATATCTAAGTGTAGTGAGGACCTTACTTGTAGTCTTACCCAACTAGGTAGTTAGGGTTCTCTTTCTAAGACATAAATCTGAGCTTTCATGTCTGCTTACAAACCCTCGCTAGTATTTTCAAAATCTAAGAGTGAATCTTAGGTAGGCTTCATGAACTGGCCCCATTTTCCATTTTTAATCTTGATTCTGCCTGTTTCCCCAAATGCATGCCGTACTCCAGGCACTGACCTATCACTCCCCCAAGAAGACAAGTTCTTTCCTCAACTTCACACTACTGACAGTACCCTCTATGGAGTCATCAGACCTAAGTGTGAGTCATGGCTCCTGCAAGGGGTAACTCAAGTGATGAGACCTCGGGCAAGTCACATAACCTTTGTGAGACTGAATTTCCTCATGGGCAAAATGAAGACAATGATGTAAACCTCCTAGAATCGAATCAGCTGACATGCAGTGCCTGGTACCCAGTAGGCACGTAACAAAAGTTAATTCCATTCTCTCTCAGTGTATCTCTTCGTCTTGACATTCTTCCTTCAATCCCCAGTCCCTTTTCTACCGACAAATTCTTACTGAACTTTCATGACTTAGGTCACTGAAATGTCAGTTCCTCTAAGAATATCCTTCCCTGGCAAAAGGAGGCATTCTCTCCTCTGGGTTTCAGTAACCCCACGCACACTCTTCTCACATCACCCTAGAGTTGTCCGTGTATGCATCTCTCTTCCCTACCAGCCTTGTCCTTTGATGCACTTGATCCTAATACTGTGCCAGGCACACACAAAGCTCTCGATAATGTTTGGTGAATAAACGATCACCAGCAAAGAAATATGAGCTGTAATTAACATAATAAATTTGCTTTGAATAGCCACATGTGGTGATCAATTTCATGACTATATAATCACATTCAGGTAGTACCCAAAGAAGGGACAAATAAAGGCCCCTTAAGCTACCAAACATATATATATATATTTTTTTTTAGCTGAGCCATCCTGCCACCTGTTGGCAGCTCAGCAGCAGCTCAGCTCAGGCCGGGTATTGAACCGTTGTTGCTCAGAGCTCAAACTCTTGAGCGAGTTCTTAACCAACCGAGCCACTCGGCCGGCCCCCAAATATATATATTCTTAACATAAGATGGAAAACCAGAACATTATGTTGATCTTACAAATCCCTAGGAAAGCAACAAAAAACAGATACTGTAGGTTGGCAGATTCACCAAAGATTCTTATCTTTTACCTATAATGACCCTAAAATGCCAGAAAGACAACATAATAAACAGATCTAGGATTTTAAACATTTAGGGTCTTATTGGCATCGATTGCAGGTTTATATAAATTTTCAGTTTTTAGTTTTCTGGTTTTTATTATAATGGGTTGGCTGCTGTTTACACTATGTGCCTTTGCAGAGAGAACAAATGTAACCCAATATGAGAACACAAGCTCACTTAAAACTCTGTCCTTAAACTTCTGCAAGTTAGAAACATTTACAGCTAACAGTGGCAATTGCTGGGGGATGGTATTACAGGACCACTTCCACTTTCTCCATTTCTATATTGTTTGAATCATTTACAATAAACACAGATAGCTATACAGCCAATAAAAATATGTTCATTCTATTTTTAAATTGTTTGAATCATTTACAATAAGCAAATATTGCTATATTATCATTAAAGGTATTTATCCATTTTCAAACCTATGTCCAGGTTTTTATAACACTACTAATATACCCAGAGACAGTAAATGATGTTGGTCAAATACATGATGTTCAAGGAAGGTTAAAAACCACCATGGGAGTTCCAGTCAAGATGGCGAAGTAGGTAAATGCTGTGCTTACTTCCTCTCAGGACCACATCAAAATTACAACTAAACTACAAAATAACCATCATTGAGAATTGCCTGAAATCTTGCTGCACTGGAGCCCTACCACTAAAGACACACAGAAGAAGCCACCTTGAGACTGGTAGGAGGGGCAGAGATGCAGAACGAGCTGGTCTCACACCCACATGTGACCATTAAAAATCAGAAGGGAGGGGCCGGCCAAGTGGTGCGCTGGTTAAGAGCTGGCTTGGGACGCCAGCTCTGAGCAGC